ATTCATTTTTATACTTAAATTTCCCATATCTTGAAATTCAAGGATCTCTGTACAGGCATGCCATACGCAGCTAATATTTTAAATTCGTTAGTTTCTCGGTGAAAGTGATCTTTTGATAACAACCGGATCATCCAATTCGCTTATCAATACAAACCCTTCCATTGTTAGCCAAATTATTTAGTTTAGACCGATATTTCAATGTGTAACACAAAAATAGTATATAAATAATTCTATAATTAATAACAATCACAGGATATATACGTTTTACTCGAAAAATATTTGATCGAAAGTGTTTTCTTGTCCATAGAGGGCACCAGAAATGTGAGGGTAAAGGCAACATGAATGGAACCTGTCATTTATTATTCCTGTCGAAGAATCGAAAGCTCTGCAGCAGTCTAGAGCTCATCATTGACTTTTAGACAAAACATATACACTAACAAGTGTATATATTTATATGTTCGCGTTTCTTCATTTCAGAAAGACAAAAAAGAAACACCTAAGAGGCATTGCACGAACGATACTGCCAAAATACGGACCATGTACCCAATTGGTCTCACGGATTTCGATGAAGTGTGTGAGTATGGGAGTGGATGTGGGTGTGGTGAGTGTGAGTGAGTATAGATGTGGGGTGGGTGGGTGCGTAAGAAGGTAGAGCACACAAGCCAAAATCCGCCCACACCCACACTCGCAGCTTCACACCATCACCCACACCCATCTACGTAATTAGATAAAAATAAATAATTGTCTTGCTTTTTTCTCTAAATTAAAGATGATTTAATTCTTTATGATCTTCTTACCAAACAAATAACACATCTTAATATTGATATTATAAATTCGACAAAAAATGCTCGAAAATTGTGTCAAAGAGTTTTGAATTAATCTTATCTTTATCTAAAAACCTAATTGTTTTGAATTTTTGTGATATGTTTCCGGCACGAAAGTATTCGACTCCTACTTTTTATCTATTATGCCAAAGTTCTGTACCTTCAACTTTAATCAAATTGACAATCAATGTCGCTATGTTAACTGATTGTCATTATCTACTTGATGGATCTTTGGTTAATTTATCAACATTAATTATCAATGTGTTACAAATTCTTCATCTATTAGACAATATAAATCCAAGAGTAACTTTACTATTTAAATGATCATATTTAGATGAATACAAGACAATTAACCACATAAATATACCTTTCGATTTTTCTTTGTAGAAACAACTTCGTAAATTAAAATGTTTTTCATTGACGACATTTAGCTATACATGTGAATATGATACATTGACTGTTCCATTACTTAGTCGAATGATAAATCTTTAAGTATTGCAATTATATTTATCGGTTAGAAGATATGACTCGATTCATATTGATGGTATTCAATATTATGATCAATTTCTTAATTATATGACACAATTAAAGCAATTTACATTTCAAATCAAGATCGAGGTTACCCAAGAGGAACGTCACAGTTGAACTTCCATCGAATAAAGATATTCAACAAAGTTTCATTGGAAGAAATTATGAACAAGTACCTTCATATGTTCATAGGAAATCATTTCTATGCGATGACGAATGCAACATCTATTCACTTTCGTATGATTTCGAATATTTTGATCGACTGAACAATTATGTTCAAGGTGGAATGTTTTATAAAGTTCGTCGATTGACGCTGAGTGATAAAATTCCTTTTGAACATAAATTATTCGAACTAATCACTCGAGACTTTCCTTTTCTCGAATTCTTATCTATCTCTAATGATCATTCACAAAATGACAAGCACCAGTCATTATCATCATTAATCACATATCCGTACCTGACATATCTTGATCTAAAATGGGTACATATTGACTATGCTGAATTATTTCTCTTGAAAACAAACATGCATCTACCTCAATTGTTAAATCTCTCCATGGAATACAAATCACTCAAAACAATAACAAACAATTTTACCAATGATACAAGGCATTTTAATTTTAGTAAATTGGAAAGTCCTGATGCATGTCAATCATGTGTTCGTTCAGAAAATTGTCATGAATATTTTCCTTTGTTATAAATTGTTTCAATAAAAGAAAGTATGTTAATTAACGAAAGATTGTATGCAACGAATAGTTATGTTTACAATGGATTACTTAATGTTTTATTTTTTCGAAAATTATTTCTAGTTTGTACGGGATGCAATCCGTTTTGGATAAATGTTAAATATCGATCGAAAAATGTAAGTGCTTAAAAAGTAGACATTATTATATTGATTATTACAAGAACTCTATTAGTGCATATCAAATCATTTCGAAAGAATACTATCGTCAGTCAATTGATCATACTAGTTATTTGTAGAATTCATTATATTTCATCAGTTGAAATAACAATTGTTCAAATAGGCTTGTGACTAGCTTTTTGTACTATTTTCTTTGACATTAATCTCGAATGTGGAAAAAAAAGCAAGGAACACAAAAAATTAGCGCTTTTGTCGAACTATTTGTAAACAAGTTGAAGTTCTCATTAAAAAGTGAAAAACAAATGATAAAGATTCAATCACGATATCTTCCTTCCATATTTGAACGAATTTTTTCTGATTCTCTATTCTCGATATTATAGTGATACAAAACATCAATTGTCTGGATGTGAACGTCGAGAAGGAAGAAAGCAAAAATGAAAACTCGTCAGATTACAGAAATCTTGTGTTTTTACTTCATCAAATAGCATAATCTTCTTTAGTTTTTCTTTAATATGTAACTCATCTTCAACTCTTGCATGTATTACAAATGCTTGATTTGAATCAAGTTTTGTTTGAAATTTACTTTCTGTTTTGATTTCTATTTGTTCAAACAATACATTTGGATTTAGCGATCATAATAGCAGATATTCATTAATGATTTTCTTTTACATGTAAATCAGTTCTTTTTTTTTTGAACATACATTTTGGATTATTCTCCATACAACGTCATTTCAATCATTACTAGTTAATATTACTATATACCACTTCATAGCCCATAGTATCCTCTAGCAAAATACGAAAGTATGTTCGCAAAATAACAAAAAATCATTGTGAGAGAAGTGATTAACTAGACAAACACTTATCCTGAATTTGGCGGCAAAGTACTGTAGTAATAGCATTATTTTTATTTTATAAAATCAAAGTCCTATGAATAGAAAGAATTAACACCATCACTTCAATGTGATGCTTAGAAACCAGAAAGATCACATTCTCTTGGGTTCAAACACAATCAAAACGAACTTTTGGACGGAGCATGAACCCAGACCAATCCAAATTTGATCATTCATATTCAGCATCTTTCGTATACATGATCAAATAAAATAGGAAGATTTTTATTTTTTTGTTGGTTACTTTGAAAAAAAAACTCAAGATAAAGTTATTTCTTGCTGTTTTCCAACATATACTTCTATTAATGTGTCGTCATCTGAATTAACTGAATTTGATTCAATCGATATTGGTGAAGAAAATTTTCAAATAACTTTGTAGATGTTCGAAAGTTCAACTGAACATAAGTTTGTCTTTACTTAATCAAATACGGTAAGACTTGGATTAAAACTTTTTAGATGGTATTAATCAAGATAAGAATATAAAGTCATAAAAAATGAAATGATGACTAATACTTTGATTGCTTGAGCAGTTGATGAATACTCTTTCCATATCTTTAGGTGAAATCCATGAGAGATTTTTTTCTTGTTCTTTAGATATTTTAATATGAAAAAGAATTTTCTTCGTGGTATCCTAGTAATTCCATTACTTCTTTTTCTGTCAATATATATCCAACTGGGGATATTTTAGATATTGCACTGTAGCATAATGGTAATGCACATTAAAGTTTGATGATTTATAAACACGACTGTACCTAATCTTTATGCATAGGTCCGAGTAACCATTGCTCTCTCGCTCACAAGGATGGAAAGGAGGTGCGATTTTTCCCAGCGCAATCAGTGTATGGATGTCATTATTCGAATAATTTCTACACCCACGCCCTCACACTCCTCATCGATGAACATTACATGTATGATTATCGAAGGAAAATTTCCACTTTGTCTTCAGATATTTCAAGATGTGTTTAGTGCAAGACACTCTTCTCAAATGTGTGTAAAATATCAAATCAGAGTGTTTGTTTTTTTTTTCAATTAAACTTTATGTTCCAAGTAGTTGTTGTGGAATCTCCGCTGTTGGATCTAGTATGACTGCTAACATGTTTTGAGTAAAACGTCTTGCCGTGAACAACAAATATATATTGATCCAAGAGAGAAAGCTCGCTGTTAAGTATATCGGCATATACCAATAGTAAAATCGGGCAAAGAATAAAATTATTTTCATAATTAGCCAACTTAAACAACAAAGAACAACATTGACTGTAGTCTTGTTGATCAAATTATTGTTTTCCAACATTTCTAATTGTGTTCGACGATTCGAACACCCATAAAGAAATATGAAAAGTCCGAAAAATAATATGATTATTGTGTCGAAGACATATCGAAACAAGTGAGCAATACTGTAACTGAAGATGTAGCTAAGCAACATAGTTAGAAAACATCCTCGATCGATATGATTTCTGACACGAAGAGCGAATATTATATACATGTTGATCATAAAATAAAACCATGCACATAAGCCATGTATCGAGAATATGAAAATAAAAAAGGGAATTTTAGAATAATTCGCTAACATAAATCTAAACATAATCCAAATATGATACATAGGGCCACATTGTTGTTCGCGTGCTCGAATGACTGAATCAACTCCGAGTAAGTTTGTTGGTAATCGTGACATCTGACGTTGTTGCTCAAATAAATTTGTTGTACGAATCAAATTTCCGACAAATACCCAATTATCAATATATTCTCTTCGTTGATCATGCAACAATTCCTGTTCGAAACGGCGTTGAATAGCTTCTTCCCATAGTTTATTCATTTTTTCTTTATAACAATCATCAAAATGTTTTCGAAATCGAGGTTTTTCTACAGAGACTTGGCAAATTGTACATCTTATCGGACAAGGAAGACACAATCCTGGATATTGACGATGTTCCTCGAATTCGATTTGAAGTATTAATTTATCACATTCGGAACATCGTCGAGATAGATATTGACATTCAATTGTTTCATGTTGTTCAAGTTGATCGTAGGGTAAAATTTGTGTACAGCCTAATGCCGAATTTCGACAACGAACATTGATACGAGTCAACGATGCGTAGATATGTGGTGGACACTGTTCATATTTGTATGATTTACATCGATATGGACATCGAGGATTGCCCGTACTTCCTGCGAGCCATGCATGAATACATTTTTCACAGAAAAGATTTTTGCACGAAGCACATGAACGCGGTTTCCACAAGAGACAATAACAAACGGGACAAAAATAATCATCAGACACAAGATGATCATCAACAATACGATCTCGATCAATGCTGTCTTCGACCAAGTCACTAGCTGCCATCAGTCGTATTCAACGTCCTCACACTGTGTCTCAGTTAAAAAAACGAGCTCTTTTATTTTGTTTGAAATGTTTCATGCTATTTTACCGCTTTCTTTTTGCTTTCGTTTCTTCCAATTGCGCCAAAACGGAAGAAAAAACGAAAACATACGATTTCTTGATTAAAGTTACCGCTGACAACGTGCATACATTCGTCAGGCTCTTATTCAAGTCAGACTGAGTTTCGTCATTTTCACTCATCCTGATTTTTGTTTCATTTTTTCTTCATACATACTTTCATGTCAACAATGATGTTCTTTGAGTCAGAGACACTACATAACTCGAGTCTCTCTTCCTCATTTGTTTTTCATTTCTCTTTATTACTTTAATAGTGAGAGGAATAAGTAAAACAACTAGTCGATTCCCATCAGTGTACTCATCTTGTCGTCCCACAATCGATATAATGCATATGAAAAGAAAAACAAAAGACTTCGATAGAGAAAAAACCAAAAAATTACATAACATCGAAAATCAAAATTTCGGAGAGCAAAATCTCGAAATGCAAGAGTATCGAAAAGAAAATGTCGAAAATGTTGGATATGGAATGAAACTTGAAAAATTTTCAATACAGCATTTTCTATGAATTTACTCTGTTAAATGGAAAATAATGTAGATTTTTTTATTCGTTTTGAGCGCAAGAATAAAATAGACAGATGAAAAATTTATTTTACTTTCAAATGAAATGCACTGACAAAATTGTGAAGTAGACCTCCAAAAATGAATTTATTTTTTATTTTCTATATCTTTTATGACCAAGGGAGACAGTCCTTGTAAATATTGTTGAGTATCGATTTCTGCATTATCAAATCGGGTTGAAAATGTTTTAAGCCTATTGTACATGAGACACCTTTAAGTGTGGATACGGGTGCCATTGGATTGTGTGCATGAAAGTAAATAGAAGGTCCCCACCAATACCCAAGTGCGAATTCTTATGAAAACAAACAGACTGTATGAATGAGTCATATTTTTTCTGTAGTAGTGATAAAAGATTTTTCGACATTTTGTATTTTCGATATTTTGCTCTTCGACGTTCTGTCTTTTCGAAGTTTTTCCTCGTCGAGATTTGGACTTTCTATGTTTTCCCACGTAACCGAAAAAAAGGCTCTCATATACAGCAGTACGTTAGTTTATGGTTTTCAGTGTTTGATGAAAACAATGTCGTTGTCAAAATGTCATTACATATTTTCAGTGCAAGTTGAAACTGTAAAATCAGGAAGAGGGCAAGCAACCAAAGTGATCTTCCTTTAAAATCGAACTGAATATGTAGGCCAGAAATTAAGTCTCATATGCCATAAAAAAAAACAACTTGGCAAAATCCTACTTTTTATTAAGCAATTGGACTAATCAAATCGACTAAAGCAATAAGAAATGAACCTTTTTAAGTTGGATTTTGACGTCTAAAATACTTCAGTGCTAGAAAATATACCAAAATCGTGTCAAGAACTCTTTTTCTACATACGTAGAAAAAGAGCTCGATTAGCCAGGATGCAATAAGGTTTCACTGAGAATCGTCTGGTTGGCTAAAACTCTTGTCTTCCACATATTTCAGAGCATTTTTAAGCAGACGTATTGGTCGTTCTCCTCCCAGTCCTTCTACCTCAGAGTTCCAGAATTCCAATATTAAAAGACCTGTTTACGAGGTTTCAAATGAAAAAAAATGACAACTGAGATTCTTCGAAAGACTTGATTTAAGCTGTAAATATTTCTTCGATCACGTGCCAAAATAGAAAAGAGTTCTAAGCGATCAAAAATAAAACGAACAATATAAACAAGATAATTTGTCACTAAACACATGATTGAGTGAAGCCATGACATTTTTTTAGGGAGGTCTAAACCAAGTGACTTCTCATTTTCGTTCTTCCATCTCAAAGTAATAAGAAAGAATGCGTTCAGTTGTTTAAACGACGACTACCGCAGTGGATAAATGACTGAATGCTTCAGTTTGCTTTTGATATTCTTTTTGATAAATTTTTCGTATGAACTTCATTTGAAAAACACGAAACCGCATTTTATCAGCGAACTTTTCAGCAGATTTCCTTGTGTACACAAAAACATGTAAGAGAATGCATTAGCATTGTCGGTGATTACTCTGCACAACGTAGTCTAAAACATACTTTTACAAAAGCGTTGAAAACGACATTGCATGCCTGTCAAAACTTGCTGATTCATCGTTCCTTCGTCTGACTATTGATTTTGTGTTGTTTCTTTTTGGAAGTTGGAAAATTCCACTGCTGACAGTCAACAAAGTGCGCCATTCTCTCCATTCTCTTGTCGAAGCTTTGCTGCGCAAATGAAAGCAGGTACTCAAATGCACCACGTGCAAGGACATTGACTTTCCGCGAAAGGGAACAAGAAGAATAGGTATGGGTGTGGGTGTTGGCTGCTCCGGTTTAGAGAAGACTCTCATCCATTCACACCCTTCTATCTTTCTGTGGCCAACTGTGCCGCGGCTATACATTGAGGAACGTCATTAATTCAGATTCTACATCCCTTCTTTGCTGTCCATATGGTTTCCGATTAGTTCCATTGGAAGCGAGCGGCTTAGGTTCGGTTTCTGACTGGGTCAGATTTTTTGCTGCCATATTCTTTTTAACTTGAGCATGAAATTGAAGTTGAACTTTGTATTACAAATCGGTATAGGATCGCATATTCTGTTGATTTCTTTCTCATGATGCAATGACACAAAGAAATGAGTCACATCTCAGTGAGAGAAAGACAGTAACTCTTTTTTCTCGTGAATTCTCTCTCTGTATAGTAGCTTATTTTTCTATGCCATGCCACCACCAAAGAATCAGAACAAGTGACTCATATGGATTTGTAACTGTCTATAGAATTGAGACTCTATTGACTGTGCTTTATGGCAAGATTTAAAAAGATAGAAAACATATTTTGCCCATCCAAAACCCAATTTTACCTTCACAATCAGTGCAAAATGCCACAGTAGAAAAAGATCGGGCCCAGCCAGGAATCGAACCTGGGCCGCTCGCTTCCGAAGCGAACATTCTACCATTAGAACACTGAGCCTCGTGCATTATATATCTCCACTGCTTCGATCATTCGAGTTTGATCACATTTCAAACGATAGAGACCTTCTTAGCTTATCAACCTATTCCATATAATCGATGCAAGAATTATCTATAAGAATATCATATAGTAGATACCGCCCAAAATGCGAAAAAAGTATTTGTCAGAAAAAGTGTTATTTTTGAACTTTTCATATCAAAAGAATTTGACTCGAAGCCGGATATATCAAAAGAAATTTCTCATCTAAACACATTTTTTGACATCAAAATATCAGCAAAAGTGCACTGGGAAAAAAAGATGACTGGCGATACACACTCTATGGAACCACATGCATAATTATAAAAATGTCCCCTTAAAGTTATTTTCTCCTAGTTAAAAATTGAAATCCGAGACTGTGGATCTAGTTGAAGTGAAGATCTATACCCACCCTCGTCACTAGAATAGAAGTCTAACAAACGCAGCAAGCATATTCTGTTGAATCGTACAAAATAATACTGCTGCTATTTGAAAGCCAACTCTAGCAGCATTCAGTGATGCAGCGAAGGGAGAAGGGAAAGATATGAAGCCAAATTAAATGTGTGTCTTTCATTAAGTTTCGTCCGTTAAAAACACTAAGCAACTGAATGTTGTCTTCAGTCATCGATGTTTACATTTTCTTGTGATCGAATGTTGATATAGGAAGAAACCAAAATTTCAAGTATGATGAGATTCTTTTGAAAATAAGCAAAACAAACGCATAAAATCAGAATTCAGTGAGTAGATAACTCTCTTCGTGCAGCCAACAAATGTAGTCAGTCGTTTTGTAGGTTTTGATTCTTTTTGACAATAATATCTCGGTGATGCTGAACATCGATCGTCAGCATTTTACATAGCACGCTATTTTTTGTTATTTATTAAGCAATTGACCAATATTTCCCTAAAATCTTATACCATGAAACGAAATGAAACACTGTGTCGATATGTCACTACTAACAATCAAATAAAAGCTTTACAGATACATCTATTTTTCCTAAATAATAAAATTGAAGCGAGACTGCATCAATCAATCAGATTGATATTCACGTAGTACCACTATCAATGCCACTAAAAGTGGGTTGGGAGGGCATCACAGGCATTAGCGCTAGACTCAAGTTTTCTGCTATTTTTACTCCATTTAGTTTCGTCTTGAAAAGAAGCGAATATTTCGTAAAATAGTAGCCATTGGAAAATGTTGCATCTGTGGAATTCGTTGAAAATTATTAAAAAAAACGCTTCGAAGACACATTTACAATAAAAGCGTATTTAGCATTGCCTAACATATATCTACGTCACGATGCCTCATTGGGAATCCGCTGTGCCCACTAAAACTCGGTGATATCAATCAATAAAACCATGGCTTACAGGCTACCATCTGCAATCACGGACACAATTACACAGAAATCTAGTATCCAAGTATTCAAATAGGCCTGCTACCGGATACTCATTCTATTGCCTAAGTCTACTCTTGCGCTATGAATCACTTCTATTACATACCTTAACATTGGATTCCCATACTTCTACCCTTTTACACTTCACTCAAACACTCTAAAACATCCTCATCCGCCCTCATCGATACTCACCCGAAGCCTCAAGAGGGATATCAGACAAGTAGGCCAGGTTAGACGCTTGAAAATCAGATATCTGTAGGAATACAGCCTTGTTCGGCAAGGGAAATTCATGAGAGATGGGCCAAATTATACAATTTTTCGAGTTCTACTGGGTATTGTGGATGTGGGTACCTTTGTATAAGTGTCACGTTGAAAAGAAACCCATACAACTCGTTGCTATATTTTCTTAGTCGCATTAAGTTCTAGTTACAGGCAAAAAATGATCACAAGAGCGAGAAATTAATTAAAGTATCTTCCTGATTACTATTATAATGTTCTCATAGTAGTGCATCTTATCAGGATAAAATAATATTA